TAAGTTCCCCCCACCCCAGTCCCCCCCACCCCTGACCATGTGGTTGGAGCAAGAGACGCCATCATGGGATGTCATCTTGGTTAGGTCAGCAGATCACGTGTTCAGCCATCCTCGTGGACGGCCATGATCTCAGCAGCCAGGTCTGCCCAGAGGCGACGTTGGTTTTCAAAGGACAATTCATCACCTTAAATACTTAGAGTAATAGACAGGAAAGGGGATCAAGGAATAAATCAAGCATCTGTAGTGGGCAGAATTCTCTGCCCAAGATTTCTGTCTCCTTGTTATTCAAGCAAACACTAACCTAGGCACTGCGATGAATGGACTCTGTAGACAGAAGTTACATTGCTAATCAGCTGACTAAAATCAAGAGATTATCCTGGTAAGCCCCTAATAAAATGATTAAAAAAATAAAGAGATTATCCTGGATGATCTGTGCAGATCAAATGTACTCCCAGGGACCTTGAAGTTAGAAGAGGACGGCAGACAAGTTAAAGCGCAGCAAGGAAGAAGCAAGTGAGCCAAGGAGAAGGGAAGATGCGAGCGATCTGAATCAGAGAAAGATTCAAAAGATTCACACAGCTCTGAAAATGGAGGGTACTCTGAGCCAACGCATGCAAATGGCCCCTGGAACCTGACAGCTGCCTTCAGCCAACTACCAGTAGGGAGACAGGGTCCTCTGTCCTACAACCACCAAACCCAAACCCAACCCACTGCCATCCAGTCCATGCTAACTCAGTGGACCCTACAGGGCAGGGTAGACCTGCTCCTGTGGGTTTCTGAGGCTGTAGCTCTTTACGGGAGTAGAAGGCCCAATCCTTCTCCAAAGTAGTGACTGGTGGTTTCGAACTGCTGCCGTACGGGAAACCATTACATCACCAGGGCTCCCCCTGCAACCACTGGGACTTGAATTCTACCAACAACCTGAATGAGCCTGGAAGTAGATTTTCCCCCAGAGTTGAACTGGCTGATAAGAGCTCAACTGGCCCACACCTTGGTTTTGGCCTTGAGCTGAAAACCAGCCCAGCCGGCTGCACTTCCAACCTGCCGAATCACGAGAGAATGCATTGGTGTTTCAAGCCTTAGCCTCTGTGGCAGTTTGATAGGGCAACAATAGAAAAGGAATACAGCATCCCACTCAAGTAAGAAAAAGAACAATCAGATAATGTCAAGGACAGCAAAGGGGAGGGTTGATACGTTTAGAAATAGAAGATAGTTAATTTGGGGACGAATCCCAAGCAAGCAAGCAACCTGAGAGCTGGTGAACTGTGAGGGAGCCCTGCGTAATCTGCCACTGGGTTCAAAGGGTTTCCTCACCTTCACGGGGCCTCTTCTAGGCCAACGGCCAAGGATGAACAAGGCAATCAAGGGCAGAATGCGTATTCTTAATAAAGAAACCTCTTTATCTCACAGTCAAGCATGGCTCTAAAACTAGTCACCTTTGTACTGTCAACAGCATAATACACCCAAGTACTAGATGGTTTGCAGAGGCTTTCTCCCCCCACCCTCCCCTTTGCAATGAATCAGGAGCCCTGGTGGCAAGACTGGGTTATGTGTAGGGCTGTTAACCCCAGGGACAGCAGTTTGAAACCACCAGCGGCTCTGTGGGAGAAAGAGGAGGCTTTCTACTCTCATGAAGAGTTACAGTCTCAGAAACCCACAGGCACAGTTCTACCGTGTCCCATAGGGTCAGGAGGAGTCAGAATTGACTCAGTGGCGGGGGTTTGACAGAGACTGCACCGATGGGCTCACACCTAAGACCCAGTGTGAAGCTGGCACTGGACTGGCAGTGCT